CCACTCTAAGAGACCAAATTCAAATCAGATTTGAATCTGGTAACCTCCTGATAAGATCAGGAGTAAGCTAACTTAATCTACAGATAGGATTAAGATAATCCCCTATCCAAATACTGATTTGGATTGGGATAACTCCTAATTAGGAGGTTTCTTAATCAAGAAGAAAAGAGGAGAAACCCTAAGAAGAAGAGAGAAATCATATTAGATTTCGAACCAAGGGTTTAGGTGTGCAAGAAAGCTTCCTGCGAATAGAGATTAGATCTCATTCATACTCCAGAGGGAAGAGAACCAATTATTCTGTCTTCATCCTTGGAGTTCTCCTCCAGCCGCCGCCGCCATTACTTCTCACAAGATTCGATCTTTGCAGAGGAAAGAAGTCAAGAAACCAGTTCTTGACATCAGTCTTGCAGAAAAGACTGAAGAGGATTCGATGTTCAGAGTTTCTAGAGGATTCTTGCGAAGGATCCAGTGTGTAGGACGCACTCTGCTGGTTCCGTTCCACTCACAGCTGTGTCATCTTCAGCAGGAGCGGATTTTGGTTTCTTCTTTGGGCGTGAACACCAACTTTGGGAGATACTGCTTCTCCAGATCAGGTATATTCCTCCCTTTTGCTTTTGGTTCAGATCTGGTTCGATGATGGTTCAAGTATGATCTTTTAATATTGTATTCTAAATTTAGGGAATATGATTCCCAGTTGGGAGAAGGTAGGAAAACTTTTGAAATTCGCCCACCCATTCCGCAACGTTTTATGGCGTCCATTAGATGGATCCTACTATTCTTTCAATTTAATATATAATTGGATTTGGTGTTCTATGGGGAATTCACTCTCCATCCTTGTCCCTGTCCCTGGTCAGGTATCACTATTAGTTCCCATCCCCACCAAGGCAATCTCCACCCTAACCCCATGGGGCTGGGGAAGTTGGGTAACCAATGAGAATGAGGAGAATTGCTATCCCTAGGGGTATTCTCTAAGGTGGATGTGGATTATTTGGCTTAATTCTAGAATACAACAAAAAGAGTATCCTTTTACATTGTGGCACACATTCTAGGCTAAGTTATGATGTGTTTTGAAGCTAAATATATCATAATATTTTCACCACACCACAATCTCATATTCTAAAACTCACCACACCTTGAAACAATGATTTGAAATATTTTAATAATAATTTATGTATTCCAAATCTCAAGGATTTTGGAACACACCACATAACCACAATACAAAATGCTTGGTGTGGCGTGGTGTTTTCCAAAAACACACCTTTTGAAATTGACCATGGTGGGGTCAGTGGCTTAGAACGTACCACACACTTTTGGGATTAGATTAAAGTGACATAGTGACGGTTGTTATGGCACCGCTACATTCATCTTGCTAGTAGATTAGATTAAAGTAAATGTTGAATGAAAATCAAAAGGATGAAATATTAGGCGGGTAACTTTTTACACACATTTACTCTTCTCTTGAGAAAAGATGCAGGGTTTCTAGCTTGAGAAGAAAGAATCAATAAGCACCATTGAGCGTTTAATGGGTGCTCCCCTCTCCATCGATCTCCGAAGCAAATACAACCTGAGATTGATCCCCATTTGCAAGGATGACGAGGTTTAGGTCATCTATGGGAGTTACAAGGGCCGAGAAGGGAAGCTCGTATAGGTTTACCGCCGTAAGTGGGTGATCCACATCGAGAAGATCCCAGAGAGAAGGTTAGTGGATCCACGATCAACATCGGCATTAACACATCCAAGGTCGTCATAACGAAACTCAAACTCGACAAGGATCACAAATCTCTCCTTGATTGCAAGGCCAAGGGCAGAGCGGCTACTAATAAGGACAAGGGCACTAAGTTCACTCCCGAGGATATCATGTAGAACAATGATTAATGAATCTATTTGTCGATCTCCATTCAGGTCCTCATTGGTTTCTACCTCTTCTTTTGTTTTTTTTTTTTTTAATTTTCTAGAGATACTAGAAACTTGTTAAGTAAATTTGGGGAACAAGAGAGGGAATCAATAGTTTTTTTGAAGTTGGATATGTTTTTGCCTACGGAATATACAATGGTAGAATTTTATCTTAAACCTAAGATTTTGAAATTTGGATTTCGTGCAAAAAAAAAAAAAAAGACCGAACAGTATAATCAATTGACTGAATGGGACGACCAAGCTTCATTGGCATTCACTCTAGTAGCAAAAGAATTCACCATTCAAACAGGGCAACCAAGGTATTCTTGCCACACTACTTCTTTACATCTAAAATTTCTAATCTATTTATTATTTTCCTATGAAATATATCTTTCAATACATATTAGGGTTCCTATTTAAACTTTTATATTATTTGAACTTCAGTTAGTTGAAGTAAATCGAATGATTATGTTATTTCAATTTCATCCTCTAATAACCCCAGCTTATCACTGCACTAGAACGGTAAAGTAGAAAAAAAGGGAAAAAAAGAAGAGATTAGATCAAATAAATAAATGGTGAAACATTTCATAGAAACTATGATGATAAAAAGACAATAAAAAGTGCAGATGGGTGTGAGGAAGTTTGTTCTAGGGTGGCACAAAAACCCTAAGAAGACTCTTCCTTAGAAATTGTTAGAGTTTATTCTCTTTGTCTTGATATTTGTTAAATCTATGACCTTAATTTGTTTTCTCCCCAAAGAAAGCTGACAAAAAAGTAAGGGGCATGAAGCTCCAAATCTCTTTTTATTTCTTATTAATGTATTAACCTATCAACTATTTGGGAATTCCACAACAGTTTGAAGGAAATGCTAACAAATACTCAAAATTTTTAATACAAAAATATGTTGAATCTGAATATTAACAAATCAAATTTGAATATAATTATCTTTGGCTCAATTCAATTTGTCCGCCTTACTTTCTTTTCCCCATTGCTCAAAACAAGTTTATTGTTACAGAGGTAATGGTGAATTTGATTAAGCCCCTGTTTGAGAACACTTATAAGAAGTACTTTTAACAAGTACTTCTTTTAAGAGTTGGGATCACACATTAAGTGGTTTTGTTTGTTTGGTAAAAAAGTGGGGAAGAAGTACTTTAAAAAAGTGACCTGAAGTTGGTTTTTTTTTCAGCACTTATTGAAGAAGTACTCCAAAAAAAATGGGACAAACCATTCCCTAATATTTTCTTGTAATACCTAAAATACCCCCGTGCGAGGGTTATCCATCTCTTCTCATTTGAACATATTTACCAGGTAGCGACACACCCAGTTATAGATCCATCGGCAATGATCGGCGGTGCGGAAAAGTGGCCGGCAGACCTGTCGTTTGGCCACTTTATTCTATTTTCTAAAGCTATTCTTCTCATGTAATCATTTTTTTGTTGTTTTTTTTTTTTTAACTTGAACTCCCTGTTCTTTGCAGATCTCTCACACTCGTTTGTGCACAGATAATTGAAACCCTAGAAACCTGGAGAAAGGATGAGCATGAAGGACGATCTCCCTGGCAAAGGAGGGGGCTTCTCTATAGATCCAAATCTACCGAGATGGGTCTGCCAGAACTGTTGGTACGCTCTCTGCATTATAAGTGTCGACTCTTACGCAGACAAGTTCTTCAACTATCCATTTTCTCGATCTGGTTAGTGGTTTCTAATTTTTTTAATCCTGCTTAAGCTCCATTTTATTTTAATTTGTTCACTATCATCGTAATTGGTATATGAATTGCTACCTTCTCTTAATTCTCATTCCAATTTTCTTTAGGCTTTTGTATATGCAAAATTTTAGTTTTTCCTATTTGATACCGAATAGAATTTCCATGTTCTAGTCGAATTCTAAGCTAAATTATGTCGAACATAAAAACCTAAGTATATTTATGCTTATGCAATCGGAAATTATGAGGAGCATTTTTTTCATTTTTTGGAAGTTCTTGGTGTTTCTGTGTAGCTTCAGTTGTATCTTTATCTTAATTGTTCTAGTAAATGTTTATCTGAATTCAATTTAGACCTACTTTTTTGAATTATTTATTTTTGGGTAGTTGTATCAAAATTTAATTGATTTGTTTGTTACTAGTTGGATAACTTGGTTGCCTTTTATTGTTTTATTTATCTTGCCGAAATCCCCTTTAAACCGTCAAAATCAGCTTACAAGTATAATCGTCACTGAATTTTGAACTCTCTCGGGATGTATACGGGAATTCATATTCGAATCTTACACTGCCATAGGGATCGAAATCTGGGATCAAAACCCAGATTTGGTTTGCTGGTATGCAGCCTTGCCTCTCTGTGAAGTGAGGGCTAAAATTGTCATTTGTGTCAATATAAGCGCTTATGGGGAAAGTAGCTTACCAAACATCCCCACCCCAATAAGTGCTTAAAAACATAATAAGTGATTTGGTAAGTGGGTTACCAAACAGCTTTAACTGTTTGTTAAAATAAGTACTTCTAAGAAGTACTTCTGCAACAAATACTTCTTTTAACAACCACTTAATCATCAAACTGGGCCTAAGAGGGTAACAATAGTCTTAACTAGAAGGGCTTAAAAATGTTTTTGTGGCTAAAGGTAGAGATTTCTTGGGTTTGAAAATGGTTTTAGGCAAATCTTTGCAAGACAGTGAAAAATAAAAATCGTAAACAAAGTATAAGAATCAAGTTTTTAAATAAAAACTTTGTTCATGTGTTTTTTTTTTGCTTTTCTTTTGAGCAACCATTCATCTAAATTTGGAAGTATGATTAGGATAGGCTATCATTTATAATTTCTTAATTTTGTATATTTACATGCTTTGCCTTTTGAGTGAAGGCTAAAACTTATGGACTGCATATATTTGAATGAGACTTTCTTGTTCTCAAAAACTTCTATACCCTATTAATTTATTTATGTGAAAATAAAGTTTAAACGGGTAAGGAGTTGAACTAAAGTTATTATGCAGCGTCTTATGTTCCTTGATTGGTGTATAGACTGATATGCTTTCACTCACTTTTATGAATAAAAGTTTCCAAGGAAAAAGAGAAGGGTGGTTAGGTAGCTTACAAAGGAGAAGGTTAATTGTGGGTCTTGTTTGGATAAAGATATGACCTTGACTTTAATCTTCAAAGGGAAGAATGAAGGTATGAACTTTTTGTCTCTCATGACTTGGCTAGTAGCTCTTGGTAAGGAAGTACTTCGGACTCAAATACATCTCTGATTCTTTTGGCCTTTTAAGTTGGTTTCAAATCTGATTTTGGAATCAAGCAAGTTACAAACCTGAATTCCGCTCTAACTTTGCCTTTTTATTAGGTTCTTGTTTTGTCTTCGGAAATTCATGAATTGAACTTGGTTGCATACCTGTATTCAAATGATTTTATATTTGTGTTTTAGAAACAAGTATTAGTTGCATGCCTGTGTTTCGGCTTGAATTTTGATTTCTCAAAATTCATTTGAAATTTATGTTTAAATAATAATAGTAATAGTACAAATTGTGAACCCATGTTTAGGTTTGGTTCCTCATTATTGAGAAATGCACTGGCTTCATAGTTTTATATCATATAAATGCAAAGCTTTGGTCTTAGATTGCAAGAGGTGCACATCTTTTGTGCTTCTTTGGGAGGGCTGAAGCAAAGCGGCTTGTGGCTTTCCAAGGTGGGCCCCATACAACCTCTACCAAATAGCAAAAGTAAACCGTGATCCAAATTGTACCAAGCTAGGATTAAGCAGTCAAATGCCTAGGAAAAGTAGGGGTGCAACTTGGGCAAACTTGGGTTGGGTGTCAAAATTTGAATGGCCCCGACCTGAAGGCTTGCAAAAGTTCAAGCTGTTAAATGGGATATCCAAGAGAAGAATTAGAAAGTTCTCTAGTTTCCCTTTTTTTAGTTCACATATTAAAGCAACTAGAGTGCTAATAGCACTTCCTACTGTATACAGAGACCCAACAACTTATTAATATATATTTTCAATCATTTGATTGCAGGCAACTGTCTCAACACAATCAACCATGTTAGTGTTGCCTTATGATACAATCTTAAACCCATTGAATTTACAAAATGTGGTTAGCTAATTCCATGGTCAGGAACTCAGGATTAATGGCCTCCAGCATTCTATGTATTTTGCAGGTTGGAAGTAACATAATCTATATCACCTTTTTCTTGCATTTGTGTAAGATTCTTTTTTCAAGTGGTTATTTGTGATTATGAAAAATTAAATTGACTTCATAATTACCTAATGACTATGTACATAAAAAAAAAGAATATTGGATATTGCTCTTGGTACGTAGACTGAAATAGTGAAACAAGGCTTCTTGTAGCCAATTTCATAAAATTGGGTAAGGCTATTTCGAGTTGAAGAAACCAATTAAGTAAAAGCCTGTATCACAGAGATGACATTTTCTTACCATGTGTGTAGCCTTAATGGCATCCTTTTTAGCTTTCCTACGCTTAACAGACTCTTCAAATGCTTTTCTCTCTACGTCCTTAGCTTCATCATGGCTTGTTGCAGATCATATAGTTCATCATTCACACTTCTTTCCTCCACCTAAAATCCATATAACATTTTGAAATTGTTCAATCATTGAAGAATTTGAGTCACTAAGATAACCCAGTTTGACACTAATTTTGCTACATCAATTCCTAAAGAGCCAAAGGAAACTTTATTTAACTACACTGAGACTCAGGGGTGTTCAGATGTAGATTCAGCCATGGCAGGTTAGACCTTCCAAGTGCACAATGACTTGTTAGTCTTATAGGCTGCCAAGGATTTTGAGTTGGGTCCAGCTTAACCCACTCTTCTATTTTCATGTGAAAAAAGATGCATTCCCTGACTTTCTCCACGGCTCCAACTAATTCATTGGTGACCTTTAACTTGTAGGGAATGAAAATATTTGCAGTAGAACCTATTTGAAAGCTTAAGAATGTAGTATTTTCAGCGGTTTGCCCCTCAGAGCATGGAGTTGAGTTTTAAGAATTAGAGAGTGGTTCAGTTTATTTTATAGATGGCGAAAAATTATGTATTGAGTAGTAAGAAATACATACCAGCACCAACTCATTTGCAAGAAGATGGTTAATGAAGATCCTCGCTAGGTTCATGAACTGAAGATAACCCCTCTTCACTAGCTTCTTTACTAAATGACCTTAACAAATGACATGAACCCTAACAAGGGCTCCTTTGTAATATTCCTTCCCATTCATAGATAGTCATGGCTGATTTTGTGGTGTTTGTATTCCTCTAGAACCTTCTAAGGAAGATGCTGATGTGAGTCTTCTCCAATAGCTTCCACATTTGTTAGGTTTTTCTTGGAATATTAAAGTTTGAACTGGGCTAGTTAACTTCATACTGTAATCTTGGGTGGATCTATTTGTTTATGTTTATGATTCCCTTGGTGTTTGCTTGGATATATTTACTTCTTGATTGTTAACATAGATTAAATTTTGAAGTTGCCGATATATATCTTTGTATATAATGTGTAGGATAATTCATATTTAAATATCAATACCATTGGTGTTGATTTTGTAAATATGATAGACATCTTTCAAAATTCTAATTTCCATCTTCTTACTTCTGTTATAAACTTCAGGTTTTCTTTCTTTAGAAAATAAACACAGTGGCATTAGGATGGAAAGACTATAAATTCTAGATTGTAAGTATCTTCTCTTTTGTTTTTGAACTCTTCAAGTCATGCACCGAGCTTCCTCCCATGGCATCCCATTCATGGAAACAAGTGCTAAATTCCCCTCTAATTAAAAAATTAGTTTTAATTTTTTAAATTATTTCTTAATGTTTACTATTTATTAACTCTTCTCATTTACACTATGGTATTATGTTGGAATGGTAAAATAACAAATGTAATAGTGACAATATATGTATATTATTTTTCGAAGTTGAGCTTTAATACAGATAAGCATCTACCTCAAGAGCTTTAAAAACTTTGGAACCATTATGGCTCAAGGTATTCTTTTAAAATAAAGATCTATAAACAAAAGTAAGAGGAATAAAGGTCCAGATTTTGGGAGATATCTATTGATGTACCTATTATGCACAAGGAAGCTTTAATTTGACTATATGGTTGTTTTAAAACAATTAGAGATACAATTGGAGCAAATATCGATTGTCCATCATTTTGTGAGTGATATTTTGATTATACTTGTTTGTCAAAGATATTTCATATCTAATTTAGTTTACATGATATTAATATTTAATTTTTTTCATTCTTTTTTTTTTCAGGTTGAACATGTCAACAAGACACAACACATATGGGTGCAGAATTTAAAGAATAAATCTAATTATTTTACTTTTTTTGTTTAATATGTAACAAGAAAGCTAGTTATAATATATTTGTTATAATGGATGTATGTAAACTTTTGAATTTGGAAGTATATCTTGTATTTTCTTATTGAATTCTTTGTAATTTTGATTTAGAAATAGAAAAATGGTCTTTAGCATTAACATGTGTTATAGGTTTTACAAATTATGAATCCATATCATGGGTATTTATATTAATTTGTAAAAAACTATATACTCTTTTTAGCGGCTAATATAATTGTTGTTATACATAGTTTATTTGCCATAGTTTAGTCTATAGCAGTAGATATTTTTCCGCTACAAGTTTTCTAATTGACAAATCATTGCATTTAGCGGCAGTTGTTGGTGGTACAATAAGATATATAAATTATTTGCCATGTGTTGTAGGCGGTACAATAAGATATATAAATTACTAGTGCATAATTCTAGACAATTCATATATTTTATAAATAATAGACAATTATACATCTAAATATATAGATTGAAATTCATATTTTAATATTATATAAAAAATGAGTGTGGTAGAAATGTGTATGTTGAGATGGATGAACAGAAAATTTAGACACAATAAGATAAAAAATAAAGTCATTCATAGTAATTTAAGGCTATGTTTGGTTTGAAGGAAAATGTAGGGAAAGGAAGGGAAAGATATAAGGTTTGTAAAGGTTTCCTACCTTTCCCTTCATTTCCATGCATTTTCCTTCAAACCAAATATAACCTAAGAGTAGCTCCAAAATGTACTAAACTGAGAGAAAGTAAATCAAAATAACTTGGTTATATGCATAAAAGACCATTGATAATATGAATTGGCAAAGCAGGACTTTTGTATGATGTTGATGATGGCGGATCAACTTTTCTTTTATACTTGATTCAAATACGGAGTTGCATATATAATTTACCATTATGGTGATAAGTAACTTTTTCTTTGAATTATATAAACATATAGCTAATGATACTCCATGTTCAAGCTAATGCCACCATTATCATTAGATTTTTCTTTAGTTTTCTTGATTAGCTAAGCATTTGGAGTAAATTCATACTTTGCACAAAATGAATCTGGCAACATAGTAAAATTCTTATTTGAATCAACCACACCTTCACATATTAAAGCTCTATTCCTCCTGACTAAATTAAAATTAATATATTTTATTTTCACTATTTTTGGTTGTTTTAATGTATACTTTAATATTTCATTTACTCTTTTTGATTTTGAATATTACTATATATGGATGATCAAACCAATCATGTTATTCAGTATTGTGCTAAATAATTTTACTCTTAAAATATGTTTCATTCCTAATTTAAGAGTTCAACTACTTATTGGCTTATATATTTTTCACTGATTCTCATTCCTCAAAGTGTAATTTTACATTTAATAAGATGTACTTTGATATTAACAATATGTAGAGCAAACATATTCAATCATTCGCCAACGATTGACTTCCTGCATTGCACTTTCTTTGCCACCTTCAAAAAATTTTAGAAAAATCATTTTTTTTTTAAGATACCAATTAATAAAAGGAAAAATTCTTGATCAGTAACTTGTATTTTGGCTCGAGTGACAATTTGGTCCCCAAACTTTAAAATGCGATAATCTAGTACATAAGCTTTTAAAATGTGACAACCCAGTACCTAAATTTTTCAAATGTGACAATCCAGTACCTACCTTTAACCACACTATTAATCAGCTGTTAAGTGACATTTGAAAAGTAAAAATGCCATTTGAATGTCATCTAATACTCTTTATCAACCATCCAAACGTTGACAAAAAACTGAATAGTCCCAAATCCTATCCTCTTCTATTCAAAAAAGTTGGTAACTGTTTAGAAGAATCTAGAATTTGGGCTGTTCATTTTATTGTCAATGTTTGGATGATTGATAAAGAGAATTAGATGGCATTCGAAAAGCATTTTTGACTTTTCAAATTCACTTAATGGCTTATTAACGGACTGGTTAACGGCAGGTACTAGATTGTCCCATTTTGAAAATTCGAGTACTAGATTATCACATTTCAAAAGTTTAGATACTGGATTGTCGCTAGGACTGTTCACGGGTTGGGTTGGGTCGGTTTACTGGCGTTTTTCCAACCGACCCGACCTGGTCGGTTTACCTAGAAATGAAACCAAAATCGATCCAGTACTAAGTAAAACCGACCTGGTCGGTTTGAATTAGGTTGGGTCAGTTTTGTAAATGATTCTCTCGGTGTGAACGGTAAAGGATTCAAGTCTAAGAAAGCAAAGGCTTGATGCCTGAAAATTAAAAATGATTTGATGGATTTAAATTGATATTTTATATATCAGAAATTTTATATACAATATGTATATTTCTGAAATAAAGTTGAAATATATCCACAAATATATATCTGAAATATATATTAAAACTGAAATATATCAGATATATATATATAATATCTGAAATATATTATATATAATATATATCTAAGTTAGTTTGGATCGGTTCGGTTTTGGCTTTTATACATCAAAACCAAAACCAAACCGAACCATCGGTTTATTTTTTTTGTAACCCGAAACCGACCAGTGCTGAAGAAAACCGGCCAACTCGAATTGGATCAGACCGGGTTAGTCGATTTAGTCCATTTGAATCTTATTATGAACAACCCTAATCGTCGCATTTTAAAGTTTATGACCAAATTGTCACTCGAGCCAAAATAGGTACTGCTCAATAATTTTCCCTTAATAAAATAGGGTTAAGTGATTTAATAATGCGGTTGCTTCATTTAGCGAAGTACCAATAGATTCGGATTTGCTTTCAAAATATTCCCAATATTAACTGGTTTTCCTTGCAAACCACGTAGAACAATCATAATGATATTGATGAAATGAAGCATCACTAATACCGAGGTTTCCAAAAGTTTCAGGCCCAAAATAGTTGCAAGCCGGGCTTAAACAATTTGTACTAGTTAGATGCCAAAAAAAACCACTTTTTCTATGGAAAATGCAAAAACCACTTTATATAAATATCATATTCAGTCTTATAGTCTTACACACTGAGTAACGATTTTCGAGGAGTTGGAACTTGTGAGTAGAAAGGCTTGCATCAACATCATTGCATCACAGACCAATAGGTAAAGCTTATGTATGTGTATTTCTTTCATTCTTTGACGTGGGCCCTCGGCCTTCATCCAGGTCTATTCAGTATTTCACCAATGTAAGCAACTAGTCAAACCATAGAAGCATGGGTCTAATATTAACCAATTAATGGGCTAGGTGGATCATGGGCTGTGTTTCTTCTGATGGGCATGAACAGAGATGAACCATGTCCAATGGGTTTCTGGCCTGGCATGCATTGCTTCTCTTCCTGCCAGAAAATTGCAGGTTCTAGGAAATAAATAAAAATTATGAATGCAAAGATAGAGATAGAGAAAAACAAAAACCAGGATAGAAATTGTCTCCATATAGAGACAAAATTTGATCAAGTGGTCCCTTTTTTTTCCTCTCTTATTGTCCTTCTATTTTCCTTTTCAACTTCAAGCACATAACATTCAACTCTGATGCCTTCTGGTGGGCTGTGCCAATCCATTATCCACCTACGTTTTGCTGGCATTATCCATTCCATGGCCATTTTGTTTCGATGTGTGTATTGATTGTAATGTAAGGGTCATTACTTGGTGCATTGCATTGGTAAAATCTCAAGCTGACAAACATGAGAATGCGGGTTCAAATATAAAGCCACTCCATACAAAAAATGATGCCAGTGGTTGAGTTTATATCAAGTTCACCCAGCCCAAGACCCTGGAATTGGGTAGAGGGGACCAGCATTTGCAACTCTAATGTATTTCAACCTCAATCTATGTAGGCATTTTCAGCCCAATAAAAAAGACGGACCATATTTATCAGTTATCGCCTGCATTTTGTATTGGGCTGATCCACAGCCCAACCGGGCAAAGTCTCAAGCAGGGTGGGCTGTGCCTAGGCCAATAATTTGGCTTGACTTAGTTTGGTAGAGAAAGCCTTTTTCCTAGGCATAGGTCCCAAAGCATAGGTGTGTGTGTGCACGCGTGTCCTCGCACACAAACTCAAATGAACAGTATCTCATCCCATGTAATTTTCTGAACCACAGTAGGGCGTACACTGAAGTTCTTTAGCTAGATCAGGATAGTCATTGATTGCTTGGGGCCTTGGGCACATGCAACCTCGTTTCCTAGTTGGACCAAGGGATGACATTGGCCCATCTCAGATGGGCCTGACTTCCCTCAGCAAATGCGCTCTGGATAAGGGGACTAAGGAGGAATTCGGGTTTCGTCCTCACACCATTTTCATAGTCTTCTTTTGCAGCCCCGTGGATTGCAAACATCTCTATACATGGGGAGATATTTTTAATGCACGTCTGCAAGGGACTGTGAGGACAAAATTTGATTTTGCAAGTGAGTTCCACTCACCCTACCATGGAGAGTCTGCAGTGCAATTACGCAGAGCTCACATCTACTGAAAGCAACAACTCTGAAAACATGACGTTCTGCTATACATAAGGAATATCTCCTGTATATATTTGTTAAATTTATGGGGCGATGTTCCCAATGGACAACTGGTAGAGATGCCATCACCAATAATTAGGTCATCAACTTTTTCAAATTTGGTTGAATTCTATCCTAATTCAAACCATCTTTGTGAAGACATGCTATAACTCATTTTAACTATGAACTATTCCACAAAATATATATTGTGAGGTGGAAGAACGACGAGGCGAATCACAACGCCCAATTTAATGATTTCCAAAGGTTGAGGTTATCGATGTTGCATTTAATATGATGCATGACCATAGAAAACCAGCGCCAAGAGAGATCAATTGTGCTTACCTATATGCCATGAAATGTAATGTTGTAGCTCAATCTCCTGCAATATAAGCTTTAATTGCAGTAGAGGAACTGTCTTGTCTCGGAACCTGATCATGCATTACCAAGGTTCAAAATATGTAACATTTTTGGGTAATATAACAGGCTATACATGCTCATGTCATACAATATGTTATGTATTAGTTTTTAGGGTTACCAAAATGTTAAATACTGAAAGTTAAGGCTGTTCAATGGATTTAATTTAAACATTAATATCTATAGAGCATTGATTGTTAAAT